AGTTCCCCTCAGGCTTCCTGACTCACCTCATTCTTTGTGGGAAAGGTCCCAGCTCTGCCAATTCAGGCTTGCCCAATCCTGACAGGAAACTCCTCTGCCAATGTGCAGGTGTCTATGTAGAGTGAGGCATTTTGTTCAATTGCTGTAGTCCAAGGCAACCACATTTGTTTTAGTAATTGTACTCAAAACATTTTTAAATATTTGATGAGGACCCATTGCCTTAAATTTTTTAACAGTTCCAAAAAAGGCCATATTCTATTTAGCTAAGGGGGAATTATATAACCCAGTGGTTCAGCTGCCACACAACAGCCAGACCGTCTTGGTTCAACGCGTTATTCTCACATTCACCAGAATGTGACCAGTTCCTTAACCTCTCTAAGCATCACTTTCCTCTTTTGTGAAATGGAGATAATAATAGGAGATCCTTCATAAAACCGATGTGAGAATTAACTAGCACATAGTGAGTACTCCATAAATGTTCTGACTGCAGCTATCTTTAACCCTGTAATGCAATAGAAAAATATTGTATAAATTCAGATTTTTAGTGTACAGTCTCTGTCCCCTCCATGTGCATCTGGGCAGGCTTGTGACTGTTTTGACCATTAGAATATGTTGGAAGTGGCACTACATAGCTTCCAAGGCTCAGAACATGCAGTTTCTGCTGTGTTTGCTAGAACACTGGACCACCATGTGATAGTCTGCGACTCTCCCAAGGCCTCCATGCTGGAGAGGCCACTTGCAAACACTCTGGCCAATTGCTCCATTAGAGTCCAGCCAATCCCTGGCCAGGCATTCTGGAAGTGGATCTTCCAGCCCCCACTGTTCCAGCCCTCAACTGCTCAAATCACCCCCTAACTGTTGGAGTTCTCACAGCTGAGTTCTCAGACTTTGTGAAGCACAGACAAGTCATTCCCACTGGCCTGTCCACATACCTGGCCCCCTGAATTATGAGCATATTAGAATGGTTATAATTTTCTACTACTAAGTTTGGAGTGGTTTGTTACAGTACTAAGGATATAGAGTGTTTAGGAAATAATAAACGTGGGGATACTAATGGGATAAAAGGGAAAATGTAACCATATCAAAATGATCAGATCCGATCTTGATCTGTGTACATAGTTTTCAAACATATGTGTAGTTTCTAATGATGGTAAAGCTCACTTTCCTTCTAAGCTGAAAGTTCTGTGTTAATCTGAAGGGACTGCAGCCAACCGGAAGCCATATACACTCCAAATACTGACGGGCTTTGAGGGAAGCACACTCACCCAGGTAGACGAGATCTCCCTTGATTCCATTCTTCAGAGAGCTGAGGGGAATTGAAAGCTGAAAACAAAAAAATTCTGGTTTAATCAAGCCTCCATTATATTCCAGCCCATCAGAGTAGTAATACAGAGATTCTTAAAGTCAGTGCACTGAGGCAGTTTTAGCAAATGCACTTGCCTATTGATTAATATTCTGACTTTTAAATATAAACACAAATACCTCCTTTTTGTGATCAGAATTGCAGTATAGTAAAGCCAGCATGACAAAGTACCCATTAGATTATCACTCTGGTTTTATAAGAGGGGAAACGGAGGTTCAGTTACACAAGAAAAACTTGCCACAATCGCATGAATGACAATGCCTTTTACCTAGAATTGAAGAATCCTCTGATGTCCACGCCATTCTTTAGATGCAGAAATAAATGCGAAAATGGTAAGTAAATTCTTTTTATTTTTTATTTTTGAGTTGAAGTCGCACTCTGTCGCCCAGACTGGAGTGCAGTGGCCGCTCCTGGCCACCGCAGCCTCGACCTGCTGGGCTCCGGCGATCCTTCCGCCTCAGCCTTCCAAGTAGCCGGAATTACAGGCACGCGCTACCACGCCCGGCTGATTTTTTTATTTATTGTAGAGATGCGGTCTCGCTGCCCAGGTGGGTCTCGAACCCACGGGCTCAGGCAATCCACTCACCTCAGCCTCCCAAAGGCGCGGGATTACAGGCTGAGCCACCGAGCCCAGCCGGTAAGTACATTCTTAAAGGTTACCCCCGCCTCAACTCAGATCACAGGAAAGCTTCATATGAAGTTTATTGTTTTACCTCCCTACAGCAACACCCTCCCCAAATTAAGATTGATTCACCATCAAAACCTGGTTTTTAAAGGTTGGATGCAAGAAGTGGCCTTCTGACATGCCCCTAACGGTGTTTGATATTCATACTGAAGGATCACTGTCTTAAAGCTAGGTTTTTGGAAGAACATTGTATTTTTTGATTAACTTTATTTAATTAGATTATGAGAGGTATGGAATGTTTCTTGTTCCCTTTGGCATGTGGCTTGACTCCTCCTTCCACTGACAGGCTATGTGAGCAAGTCGATGTCTCAGGGTGTCATTTCTGCATCTTGAATGAGAGCTATCACCCTGCTACCTGCATCGGAGTTCTTGTGAAGATTAAGTCAGGTGCTATCATACTAACAACTTCCATGGGGAAAAGTGCGTTTTTGTTTTGCTTATTTCTTTTCTTTTTAGGTATTAGGGTCTCTTCTACTTTAGATTTCTAATCGAGTATATTTCACTACAAAAGTGGTAGTAAAAATATAAAAATAAGTCAGAAAATATTCAGTTCAGTGATGGAAAGCATACATGGAAAAATAACAACTATGTATTAATTTTGAGTTTTGAGTTCACAGATGTATGTTACATTATTTCATGTACTTTTCTATAGGTTTTGAATGGTTCAATTTTTTTCAGGCTTATTTATTTATTTTCAAGTTCTTATTATTTTATTTTCAAGATGTTTTAGAGTCTATCATACCCAGTGATCTATCACAGAAACAAAGAACTGAGTATCAAATGTTCTCATTCATAAGTGGACTCTGGGCACCTATCATAATACTACAAGAAAGGATTGGCAGCAGCGGGACACTGCTGGAGATGGGGGGAGAGGCACACAACATCAATAAAAGCATCTGATCCTAAACCAGGCAGTGCGAACCAATGGGATGGTCAAACTTCACCTATATGATGACCACTTATGTACCCGATCCTGAACTGTACCTCACATCTTTAAAATAAAATAATTTTTAAAAACTGACTTTAAAAAAAAGACAAAAAGAACCCCACTCCTCAAAATAATTTAGAAAGGATTAAATTAAGCATCCAATTACTTCAAGCCAACAAGGTACATCTCTTAATATTTCTGGGTCAAATATTCTCAATTGTAGACTAGACAGAATTAACTAGCTCCTAGATAATGTGTTTGGTTCCTTTCAGTTCCATGATCTGGTAAGAATGACATCTTTTTTTCCTCTTTTTAAACTTTGGCTGCAGTTCTGAGCCCCCTCCCTAGTAAACTTCATGTCAGGTAAAAGATAAAACATGCTCAAGAATTTCAACAGGACCACTTTTGAAGCAGGAGAGTGTCATCTTCTCTGAGAAACAGAACTGAGTGCTCTGCTGTATTCCTTGTGGTCTCTACCCCCGGGGAGAGAAGGGAAGGAGTGATGGTGGTGGAGGATGTCTAATACGTGAGATGCTTCTTGGTAATTAATACATTAATTTCTCTTTCACTTAGCCCAATTTCACTTTCACTTAGCCCGCTCACTTAGAATGTCTGAGATAATGGAACACAAGACAGATCAGTCTGCACAAGAGAAGATCAATAGGAGAGATGGCTTGGTGGAGTTTCTAAACATGGGATACCATCAGACAGGAGTGATCATCAGAGTGCAAGGCTAGACAAAGTGTCCCTGGAAGCCTGGGGGCAAGGATGCTAGAGGGTAAAATGAAAGTAATTGAATGTGAGTGCTCAAGGGACCTTAGAGAGCACCAACCTTCAATATCAAAATGTCTCATGAGTTATGATGAACACACACACACACACTCACATATGATACCATGGTGTACTTAGTACAATGTTTGCTATCTGGGACGGGCTCTTCTTCTCTGTACAATATGACCTTCCTGTGGGTATGCCTGCATAGCACCTGAGTTCAAGACAGGGTGCAAGAAAAAAAAGAGAGGGAAAAAAAAAAGGAGGAGAAAGAGCAAAAAAAACAAAACAAAACAAAATAACAACTAGAAATCAGAAGTATCTTCAAGCAAATATGTATTTTATGAATTTATGGCTTCTATAAACATTTGAAAAAACAATAATCTTTGTATCTGAGACAACAGATTTCATTTTGCTTTAACATAAAGATAGGACGCACGTTCTTCAGAGACGCCAACATGCAGGGTCATGCATTCACGAGACCTGTTAGTGTGTAGTACAAGTAACATCTGTATGTGTTAAAGCTTCCTAATGACAGCCTGCTCCGTTTCCTCTTTCACAGTCATCCTGTAACCACTCCCTGCTTATGTGGGAAAAAGTGACCTTCAATGGTTCCCTATTGTCTGTATAATTTGGCCTATTTTTTTTTTTTTTTAATTTATTGTAGAGATGAGGTCTCGCTGCCCAGGCGGGTCTCGAACCCGTGGGCTCAGGCAATCCACTCACTCTAGCCTCCCAAAGCGTGGGATTACAGGCTGAGCCACCGAGCCCGGCTCCATTTAAGCACTTTTAAGCACCTTGCTCAGACCTCTCTAGCAGAACCCTCGAACCCCTCTACACTTCAGCCCCTTGCTTCCCTTGTGCCCTCCTGGCTTTGGAGTGGTTGTTGTGATAACGGATTTACATTTCTATGTCCCATTATAGTATGCCATCTTCTAAAGCCGGACCATGTTTGTTTCATCTCCATACCCTGCGACCTAAGACAGTACTGGTAGCATAATGTGTGCTTGGTAAGTACTTATTAAACACATGAGTGGATCGACAAATAACAGGAAACAATTGGAGAAAAATATGCTGAGACAGAATCTAATCAGACAGCCGCAAATTCCTTCGTAGGATTAATAGCGAATGTCATTTTATTGATAAAACCGAGTCTCACAGCCAAGCCACCATTAAAAATAATCGTGCAAGGAAAAACAACACGCGGGCTCGTCCACTAAAACGGATTATGTCGTCTTGGAATTAGGAAGAGAATGTGCAATCTGCTTGCTGCTTTCAGACTGTTGGGTGTTTGCTTTTTAAACTGGCGTCTGCAGCTCGGCGGCCCAGCCTGTGGGACCCACATGGCCCAGGTCCTCGGAGGACCCATCAGAGCCTTGGCGTCCCCAGGCTTTGGAAGGGCTGCTCGGCCCGGGCTGCCGGCGCGTGCAGTTCCTGCCGGCGCCCCCTCTGCGGTCTGGGCGGCGGGGACTCCGCCCGAAGAGGCGCCCTCGCCGCTTCGGTCGCGGGGTGCGCAAGTTTTCCTCTCCGGAAATGTCAGGGCTCGTTTCCCTTCGCTTGTTTCCGACTCGATTAAAGAGGAGGAAGGAGGAGTTTGCTTACACGAAGCCCGATCGTTGCAGACGGCGCATCTGGCTTCACTTTTGGAGTTCCGTCCAAGTTTGTGTGTTGTGTGGTTTTCTTCGTGTGACAGCGATCCCGTGAACTGCGCCGGGAAATGGCGCGTCCCCAGCCCGCCGAGCCCTGCCAGCGAGCTCCAGGGCTCCTTAGGGTACCGTTTTGAACAAAACCCCGACAGACACCAGCTCAGCGGAAACCGCGCGCCCCCGGGCCGGAGGCATCCGTCCCGGTGGCAGCGCTCGGGCGGCTGCCCGCACCCGGCGAGCAGAGCGGGATTCTGAAGCGCGCAAACGCAGAAGGGAACAGAGAGCCGAGTCCCGCGGTCCTCCGTCCACCTACCCACGCTCTCCAGCGGCCCCTGGGACCGTTCCCCTGCCTGTCCTCGCCGGAGAACGCCCGAGCAGCCCAGCCCGAGCAGCCCAGCCCGCAGACGCCAGCGCAACCCAGCCCGTCCCGCTGCACTGCGGCCCCACGCTTTGTGCCGGAGCAGTGCCGCCGCCGCGACTTCCTCCTCCTCCCGCCTCCGCCTCCGCCTCCGCCTCCTCCGCC